CCAGAAAAAAACAACAAAACAACCAAGATATCACCCTGACAAGTTCGTGAACCCCAGCAGGTATACGGGGATGTAATAAAAAAGGTTCCTTCTTTGCTAAATTTTGCCTCGGTAATCCCCCTTACACATGTATAATCTAATAGATGGTCTAAGAATTTTAACAACCGCTCATGAAGGCGAGTGGTTGAGGGTTGGGAGGAGGGCTACGGGGGTGGGGGGGTATTAGTATATCTAACTTCTTGTTAATTCTCTCTGTTCTGTCTGTCTCCCGCCCTCCCCCACCCTCAACCCCTGCATTAAATAACCCTCATGATACGGTATTGTAGAGCTTGTCTATTCACGTACCTGCAGTAGGATAACCAGAAAAAGGGAGAAGGCTTCAAAATATTACTTTTCAAAAACGCTAGAGAATCATGAATATGAATTCCATGATCAAATTGTGATAGTTGCCTTGTACTTGTCTTTTTTTTATGTTAGATACAGACAAATTTTAACGTCTAAAGGTAAGTCAAAATACCAAACCAAATTTCAAACACAGTCGGCTCCATAAGTATTGAACTCGCTCGAGTTGATATTGGGAGACGTTAACACCCAGAAAAATTTTCAAAACAAAAGTCTTTTATTCACTTTCGTGTAAATGAGCAAGAATTTGACAATTAAATAGAATGTACTGAGAGTGAATTTGTTGGGGGGTTTTTCTTTAAAATCGGTCTCTGTGGTGGCCATCTTGGATTTTCAAACCAGTTTCTTAGTGCCGAAGAATTTCACAGCAAATATTGAAACTACAGGCTGAAATTGGGCACACAAGTGCAAACTTACTCCTATGTGGAAGATGCCGTAATTCCACACTCGGGGTAATTCCACACACCCCCTTACAGCCCTTAGCACCAAACAGAAATCTATTTGACACGCAGCTTTAATCTTTCGCTTCTGTCTGCCATGTTTATTTTTCAATTCAGCTTTAATTTATTGTACGTCCGTCTTTTTATTTTCATTTTGGCATGTGTGCTCATGTGGATGTGGAATTGTCCAGCATTATTACATATTTAGTTAAATTGAAAAATGGAAGTATGTGGATGCTGATATCGTAGAATTCATATTATATTTTGTTTCCTAACTTAGCAGACCCAAAATAAAACTGTTGTGGAGGATGTGTCCTCTTTCTACATAGAGTAGTTTCTATAACATTTGCCTCACTATCCGCTTGAAAAGTTTGTGGTGAATTCCCCCATTTTACTATATATGGCATGGGGATCTATGTAAGGATTTTGACCTATCTTTGAAAATAAAAAAGTGAGCCCAAAGTCAATGGACCCACGAGTGTCAGCTCACCAAACTTTGGGGTATATCTTAATAAAAGATTGAATATTTCCACAAATTACTATTTTTCCATTTACTCACATAGATCCCCAGAATATATTATTTTAAAGCACTTGTATGTCAAATTTAAAGCTTCTAAGTTTTTGAAAACTCCTTGCACCAAAGAGGTCACACATGTGAAAAGCAGATTTTAAGAAAAGCAGAAAAAACGAATTTTTAAAAGGATTTTTAGTACAACATGAACTTTT